ACTGAATTCGTTCTTGTAGGCTTCTCCCGCCTGGCCCACGTCCAGGGCTTGCTCTTCTCTCTCTTTCTCACGGTCTACCTGCTCACCGTCACAGGCAACCTCCTCATTGTGGCGCTGGTCTCAGCGGACCCTGCACTCCAGTCCCCCATGTACTTCTTCCTCCGAATCCTCTCRGCCCTGGAGATTGGGTACACGTCGGTCACGGTGCCCCTGCTGCTTCACCACCTCCTCACTGGTCAGCGCCACATCCCCCGCTGGGGCTGTGCCCTCCAGATGTTCTTTTTCCTCTTTTTTGGTGCCACCGAGTGTTGCCTCCTGGCGGCCATGGCCTATGACCGCTACGCAGCCATCTGCGAGCCCCTCCGCTACCCTCTGCTGCTGAGCCGCCGGGTGTGTCTGCAGCTCGCAGGCTCAGCTTGGGCCTGCGGAGCCATGGTGGGGCTGGGCCACACCTCCTTCATCTTCTCCTTGCCCTTCTGTGGCCCCAACGCCATCCCTCACTTCTTTTGTGAGATCCAGCCTGTCCTGCAGCTGGTGTGTGGAGACACCTCACTCAATGAATTGCAGATTATCCTGGCTGCTGCCCTCATCATCCTCTGCCCCTTTGGCCTCATCTTGAGCTCCTATGGGCGTATCCTGGCTACTATCTTCAGGATCCCATCTGCAGCTGGACGCCACAAGGCCTTCTCCACTTGTTCCTCCCACCTGATCGTGGTCTCCCTCTTCTACGGCACTGCCATCTTTATCTATATTCGCCCTAAGGCCAGCTATGATCCAGCCACTGACCCTCTGCTGTCTCTCTTCTATGCTGTGATCACCCCTATCCTCAACCCCATCATCTATAGCCTCAGGAACAGTGATGTCAAGGCTGCCCTAAAGAGAACCATCCAGAAAATGGGGCCTGCAGAGGTTTGACAAGGAGAACCACAATGATGACTRCAGCTAGGACCCCTAGTCAATCTCAAAACACCAAGGAGCAAAGGAAGGGGTGGMGCAAAGGAGGCATGGGTCTCACCTAGGGGAGGACCACCCTGTCAAGAAGACAGACTTAGCCTTGAAGAACTTCTTGGAGTCAAGCCCCTGAAGACCCCCTTGATACTCACATAATCTAAACAAACATGAAATTCAAGAGAGAAGATCAACTTTACAAGCAGAACAATCTAACAACTAAGAGAAAAGTTACAACCCCACCAGACTGCCAAGGTAATAAAATTTTCAGCAATGATCCTTAAAGTCATTTAACACTTTTATATTCTAGGGAAGGCATTTGTTTCCTGGGTAGTACTCCTGGCTAATATGGTAGCAATATGTAATTATCCCTAATAAAGTCTATCACCAGGCAAAAAACAAATATCTTAAAAAAATTTTATTGATGCATTATAATTATATATATTACCAAACTCTCTTGTCACATATTTAGACATGTACACAGTATGATTTGGTCTATTTCATTCGTCAGTACTTTCAAATTGCCTCCTTTCCTCCCTTCCCAAGTCCCCTTCCTCTACTCTTTTGAACTCATCTATCTTCATGAGATTCCACCAACCCCTTTCCTTTTTCTTTTCCTTTTTTCTCTCTAGCTTGCAGATCTGAGAGAAAGCACTGAGACTGGCTTATTTCACTTAACATTACATTCTCAGGTTCCATCCATTTTCTTTGCAGAAGACATAATTTTGTTCCTTATGACTGAGTAGAATTCCATTGTGACTATATACCACATTTTCTTTATCATTCACCCACTGACAAACACCTAGACTGGTTCCATACTTTGGTTATTGTGTACTTTGCTGCTATAAACATAGGTAAGCACGTATCACTATAGCATGCTGATTTTAATTCTTTTAGATAAATACTGTAGAGTGGTGTAGCTGGGTCATAGTCAATGTTTCTAGTCAAAAAACAAATCTCCTAAGATGTGAAGAAGGGCCAGAAAAAATTCAATGAAGGTAAGTTCTTATGAAAATCAGCACAACACAGTGGTTCAGAGAATAGATTCTGATGTCAGATAGATTTGAATTCAATTTCTTCCAACAAGCAAATGATGCAATCTGTTTGAGCCTTAATCTCCTTATGCATAAAATTGAAATAACAATGGAGTCTATTTCTTTGTGGTTTGTGAGAATTTATAGACTTGTAAGCACCAAGCTTAGTATCTGGCACAAACTAGTATCTCAAAAACTGTCTCAACAATGAATCAGACAGATCAGCACAAAGGATAACATCCAGCTCACATTTCATTCCTTTGCTGGGGAAAGAAGGGCATTCTTTGTGTCAGTGGCACTGGGACCAATGAGACCCAAAGGAAGGTACAGAAAGAAGCTCTATACAACAAGACTATAGGAAACTGCCACACAGCACAAAGGTAAGCTAGAAACAACCAGGATAATGAAGAGCAAATATAACAGCAATGAAATGCAGGAGTCAGCGACCCTCAGAACAAATAAATAAGCTGAACTAGTTAATTTTTTAAAATGCCTTCAAACTTGGAATGGAACCACCATTTGACTCAGCTCTCCCACTTCTTGATCTATACCCAAAGAACTTACAATCAGCACACTACAGTGATGCAGATTGCACGAATGGTGTGACTCTACATCATGTACAACCAAAGAAATGAAAAGTTGTGCTCCATTTGTGTAAAAAATWAAATTAAATTAAATTTTAAAAATGTAAAAAGTGAAAAAATACCCTCAAGATGCAAGAATTAATTCATAATTAAAAGTATAACCCACATACTTTTTAGTATTTCCAACACCTTAATTTTGTGCCATTGCTCTGTTTGACACTGTGGTGAATACCAATTAAATACAGGAGGTGATTTTGCCCAGAAAGTCTTTTCTGATTGGAGAGAACACATTTATTCCTGTGAAAACTGTCAAGAGAGCCACAAAAAGTAGAAATACTGTACTCAAAACATTAAAGTGAAGGGACATAAATGGTTACTCCCAGAGAGACAACAGGGCCTTCTCCACACTTATTTTATCAGAGTAAAACCTCAACACTATTGCTCTTCAGTACTTATCAAAACTCTCATAGATAGAAATGGCATTTAGGAAGAGTTGCCTAAAGGATTGCTAAAACAATAAGCTTTTCCTCTAATCACTGAAAATCTATAACCTCCAGGCTGAAGCAGACCATGGGAGAGCTGTATATTTAAAATGCATCGTTTTCRCCTCCTAATTATCTCCACGTACCCACCCTTGGTAGAAATGTTCTTGCTCACAGGTGATTTGGCATTCTGCCGCTGATTTCCATTGATTGCCATTAGGGAAGATTACAAGAAGCAACACTATGAAATTCTCAAGAGGAGAAGTTTATCCCACATCTCCATGGTAGAAATACCTGTACTTTTCTGGTCATATAAGCAATAACTTTTTTTCTTACTATTTTATGGAGGCATCATCAATATGTATAAATTGCACATACTTAAATGTAAATTTTGTGTTGACTGTGTGTGCACTATGAAACTATCAAGCTGTGAAAGAACATACCAGCCTCCCCAAAGCTTTTCTCATGGCCTTACTTCCACACTAACCGGCATTCCTCATTCCCAACAACCTTTGATCTGATTTTCATCACAATAGTCTGCCTTTTCTAGAGTTTTATAAAGGAATCTTTCAGTCTATGTGTTCCTGGAGACTGAAATGAGGACCTCACACATGTTAGACAAAGACTCCAATGCTGAACTACATCCTCAGCCCTTTCATTTTTTTTTTTTTTAAGAAGAAGAAAAAGGTTATTTTGGGCTCATGGTTTCAGAGGTTCAGTTAGCCCTTKCATTTTGAGACAGGGTCTTGCTAAATTGCTGAAGCTGGCCTTAAACTTGCTATCCTCCTGCTGCAGCCTCCCGAGTAGTTGGGATTATAGATGCATTCCACTGCACCCAGCAGTCTGACTTCTTTCACTCAATATAATTTTTTGAGATTTATCCATGATGTGGTGTACAGCAGCTCATTTCTTTTCATTTCTAAGTGATATCTTGTTGGAATATTCCACAATTTGTCCATTCACCTGTTAATAGAAATTTAATTGTTTCCAGTTTTTTATTCTTACATATAAAGCTTCTATGACATTTGTGTTCAAGTGMTGTATGCTTTCATTGCTCAAATGAATATACAGAAGTGGATGGCTGCATGCATCCATCCAGGAGGTATATGCCTAACCTTTAAAAAGAAAATAATCATTTGTTCCTCTTTGTGTGACAGCTASTAAGTTTATACCAGAATTTGCAACTTGTGTCCCAGAAATGTGCAGAATTCCTCAAACTACACTTTGAACTACTTACCTGGTTTCTGGCTCCACATTATTTTGTCTATTCTTTTTTCTTTCTCTACTCTCCCTCATTCTTTTTTCYACATATTTATGTAAGTCACATTAAAGTCTTTCTGGGACATGGCTTAGATCCAGCAGGCAAAAGAAAAAAATGTAGGGGTTATTGTTGAATGGAGCAAGCCCTGGGTTAAGACTAAAGATCTGGATGCAAGCTCCACTGTTACTAAAATTTTATGTGACCTAGATGTAAATGTCATTCATTGCCTTCTGGTTTTCAGCAACATCATAAACAGAAGGGATGAATTAAATGAGCTGTGTTGGGTTACAGCTCCACTGTTTTATGTTTACTTCCCCAAGAACCCTCTGCTTTTCATACCTGATTCTCTCACTGAGAACAGAAAAGATTGTGGTGAATGCTCTTCTACTATCCATACCAAGAGGTCTTGAACTAAATTAATCCTAATATGTATATTCACTTGGTGGTTATGGCAAACTGCACTAGCAAGTTTCTAAGTTCATAACTCTGACCCCAGCTCTAAAAGTGAAGCAGACAAGTTTCTGTTTCTTTTGTTTACAGAGATTTCAGTAAAGAGCCGATGTGTATATGCTCATCTGTAAGGACAAAGACACAGGGAGGAACCACTTATTAAAGGGATCTTTGGGTGACCAAGGTCCAACTCCCCACCAAAGCTGAGAGGGATCAAATAACATCTGTTCCAAATMTCCAGTGTGCTTTTTGCACCATCTCTCTGGTAAATGTTCATCGTATTTATGAGCTACATTGAGCAGCCAGCATCTAATCTAGAAAATGCAGTATCTTGGATAGGGCCATCAGTTCAGGGATTATATAATTTTTTGAGATTGATCCATGCTGTGGTGTATAACAGCTCATTCCTTTTCATTTCTAAGTGATATCTTGTTGRAATATACCACAATTTCTTCATTCACCTATTAATGGAGAATAGGTAAAAGCGGGGAAAGGGCTTATTAGCAGAATAGTGTTAGAATGCAGTCTCCTAAGGATATGGTGGATTTGTAAATCAGGCACATGTACCAGAAACATTAACATAGCAGCCTGACTAGGTTCCTAAATTCCACTCGTAAAAACTCTAAAAGCTCCTCTCTTTGCATCATTTTTTGTTCTATTGCTTGATTTTTACTTTAGGAACTTATGAAAAGGTGTGTAAACTTAGCCATTTATCATTTACAGCTCAGTGGGAGAGGTCTAGAGACAAAGCATCACARGACCTGGACCCCAGACTGGCAGGGAGGAATGGTGAGATGCATGCCAAAGTTAAAAGAGTCTCAAAAGATGTGAAGGTAGTTAAGTCTGACTCTTCCCTGCCCCTGTAAACAATATAACTCCTTGTGGGTGGGTGGGACCTCATCTCTTCTTATGATTTCCTAAGACTTCTCTGAGTTTTCCCTGGGCAATTTTATAGATTAGACAATTTTATAGATCGYCACCTATGGTTAGGGAGCATGTGAGATACACCACTCTAGCTCTCCAAAACAGTTTGCATATTACAACACTATGATCATCTAGAATGGGGTGGGAGCCATGGTGGTGGAGCTTGGTCTCAAAACTATTAACCTGTCATTATACTCTGCCTGTGGTCATCAAAAGTGATCCCTGACCAGGAGCAACAGCATCACCAGG